CGATGTCACCCAGTCTCACCGACTGTGTTTAACAGGAGAGCTAGGAAGAGAACCAGGAATGCAACTGGTCCGATATACCGTAAGAAGTCAATTTAGTTAGCAGCCCATTATGAGGAACTCGGTCGAACGCTTATTTCCTATCCAAGAAGATGATGATCAGAGCTTTCCTGCAATCAACCATGGCGGTACCGTTGTTCAGGAACTCCAGCTGGCATGTTTGACAGGCTTTAGATGAGGGGAATCCATGTTGCGCTTTGTTGATGAGATTACGATGTGTCAAGAACCGTAGGAGCTTTTCCTTGATGATCCTCTCCATCACCCGTGAACAAATGGGGTGTGCCTAATGGGTCGGTAGTTTTCAATGTTTTGACGGCTTCCCCTTTTATGTCTTGGCATGACTACTGCATGTTTCCAAACGGAGGGAAACGTTCCATGTTTCATGGAAAGGGTAAGGATGTTAAGAAGGAGGACGGCTATATCCTGGCCACCTAGAATTAGCAGAGCCGATGGGAGGCCATCAAGTCCGGAATGGAAGAATAATTTGAGAGCTTGAACTTCTCGATTAATGGTATGCGGGTCACATGGTACTGCGCGTAAAGTATCATGGGTGCACCTAGGAATAGTTAGGGGGCAGGGTCAGGTTAGCAGAGGTGAAAGAGTCGCAGAAGTAGCGGTTCATGACCTCACGTATTTCAGCTTGGTTACTGGTAACTGAGTCGTCTGGACGAATAATCAAGTTACTTGAATTCGAAGCGGGGTTGCTTCTGCGCCTCAGCAGGGAATTGTGGCATTTGATACGGTTGATAGAGTTTAGTGCAGTGTGTTCTTCGTACAGATTTGCGGTAGGTAGTGAATTTCTCCACTCCAACAGGACTTCATTGATGCGGATAAGGTGGAAGTAAGCTTGGGTCCTGCCGTACTTCGAACGTAGATTTTGAGCTTGACGAGCAGTTTGCGAGGGGAGCTGCGTTCTGCGGTGACTGTATTGTTTTTGTTTCCTTATAGGTGCAAGTATATCCAGACAGCACGTGAGCTTTCCATATAGCACAGAAAAGGCCGTGCCTGCATCTGTAGCCAGAAAGAATGCATCCCAGCTGATGGATCTCAGAAGTAGAGCAAAGCTTGTCCAATTGAGGCGTTTGAAGGGCCCAACCGAACGCGCTGTTCTAGCCACTGGGGGATGAGTGATGGGTAGTTGGAAAGAGAGTTTTACCATTTTGTTATCGCATCCAGGGAGACTAGCAAGCACGCTAGCAGATGCACGTGCAACCGCTTGTAAAAAGTAAATCTAAGGTGTTATTGTGCCTAGTGGGTGCACGCACGATTTGAGTCCACCCAAATGCATATGTGGTGTCCACAAAGGCACGGTATTTGGGTGGCGCAGATTGTGTTTGCCAGGCTACTTGTGGCGTGTTGAAATCACCACCGATTATTTTATAGTGGTTAGGCAATGGGGATTCTTCTGTGAAGAGTTCCACTAGGCTGCGTATACCGATTGTGGTAGTGTGGGGAGGATTATACAGACAGCCAATTAAGAGGTCGCGCTTTAGATCATCCGCATAACTCAAGCAATGCCATTGAAGCCCAGACGCTAGATCGCTGATGAAGATGTTGAAGAGTTCGGAGCTGAGGACGGAGCCCTGTGGAACACCGCTGGTCATATGCACAGGATCGGAATACGTTTCGTTCACTCTCACCAGCATGGAACGAGTGTGTAGGAAACCGGAACTCTCCGAGAGAAAGTTTCCATTGGCACCGATTCCTCGGAGTTCGTGGAGAAGCTGTTGATGCAGAACCTTATCAAAAGCTTTACTGAAGTACACGAACACAACATCTAGGCGTTTGTCAATATCCAAGGAATTTTCCCATTTTTCTCTAGCCATAAGGAAGTTGGTAGAGCAGGAGCGAGCTGTACGAATACCATGTTGGGCACTGGATATCAGACCCATCCGCTCGAGATGAAGCCGAAGCGCCCGTTTCAGGACCCGTTCCATGATTTTGCACACTATCGATGTAAGGCAAATGGACCGGTAGCTAGCTGGGTCTTGCCGGTTTCCTCCTTTGTATATGGGCTTGATGATACCCATCTTCCGAGCGGGCAGGAAAAGTCTGGACTAAAAGGATCGACAGAAAAGATGCGTGATGGGTGCAGCAATGTACTGAACCCCAGTCTTGAGGAACAAGGGTGCAAGTCGTTAGGACCAGGCGATGAGTACGGATCCCATTCACCGAGAACGTTCAACACGACGCCAGTGTTTATATCAACGTGCTCTAACAGAGAAGGGGATTGCGTACTGTTCTGTCAGAGAACGACGCTGTTGTTGAGTACACTGAGGAGTAGTGCCGCGCCAGGAGGCTGGCTTTGTCGGTGTCTTCGTGAACTGCATCCCCATGCTCGGAAGAACACAGCGCAGGGATACCACTGTCTGCTCTAGTGCTCCGTTTGAGGTAAGAGAAAGGCGTCTTGGGAGTGTTTCTAGAAATTGTGGCTAGGGAGAGTTATTAATGTTGACGTCTCTCACATTTTTGCAGGGTACAGATATTTCTAACCGTTTTGTAACGGATGTAATCATGCTCTGATCGTGTGATCCTATAGCGGTCCCACAACTTACGTCTTCTGTTTATTAGGGATCGCAGTTCACGGTTGAACCACGGAGAGTTTCTAGAAAGCGGTCGCTTTTTGGAAATGAGGATAAAATGTTCAATGAGTGGTGTCAACTTAGAGTCTAAAAGATTCCACGTACCGTGCACATTGTGGTGTTCGGGAATACACCAATCCGTACTGCTTGCAGCCGATTTAAGACGAAGGGCATCAGCACGCCAGAAATTTCGGCAGACGGCACATTAGTTGTGAGTCGTAAAACGACGAGTTCACTGGAGTAAAATAGTACAATGATCGCTTTTCCCAATGGGTTGAAAGACTGTTAGATCCATGACTTCTGACTCCGCTGGCTAGAGCACAAAATCCAGGATGTGAGGCGACTGGCCGGCGAGAATACGAATCGGAATGGACACATGTTGATACAGGCTGCAGTCGAGTACGGTATCAAGTAAGGCTGCATCAAAGGAATCAGGTGGACGATTGCAAGCAAAGAGGTCCCAGTAAATATTAGGGGCATTGAAATCTCCCAGAATAAGACAATCCTTACCAACACCGTGCTTGTTGATCAGTTCCAACAGGCGAGCTCCCGCGCCCAGTGGTGTTCTGTAGATGACACCAAACAAGGAAGGTCTGCACCCGCCATGAATGCGGCAACAAAGGGCATCGAAATAGCTGTCCTCGTCAAATGAGACCTCAACTAGCTAAGACTTCAGATCCGCCCTCCAGTAAAGTATTACGTCGCCTCCCGACTTTCTCCCATGACAATCGGCCCGAGCAAGGTGGTATCCAGGGATAGATACTTCAAGTCCAATGATGTCAGGGAATAACCATGTTTCAGTGAAGGCCATTAAATCAGGAAAAACATCTGCGGCAAGCGCCTGGATCTCATCAAGTTTATTACGCAGACTCCGAACATTAGCGAACAGCAAACGCAGTCCGTTATTTTGCGTTACTGTCCTGGAGTGACAAAAATTGGCCTCCAACGGGTTCTCGGAGTTTTCCGAACTACGCGAAAATCCACGATATGAAGGTCTGTTTCACCACTCGCCCGACGGGTCTTCAGCTCATCAACAGCTCTTTTCATTTTGATTCCACCTTCCGGGGAGAGATCTCACGACACATAACACGGCTTGCCTTTGAGATGTGAGGTCCGTAGGAGAATGCGTTGACATTCTTCCTCGTCTTGGAACACAACCTTAAGGGGGCGAGCCTTAAGGGAATATTCTTGTTTCCTACCTAAGCAGAAAGCCTAGATAATTTTGATTTCCTGATCGCCTTCGCCGAATAACACAGTGCTCAGTCGTTCTAGGAACACTTGTTCATCTAACATCCTTTCGGCTGGGCGTCATTGGTCGATACAGGCGCATTCATTTTTATGAGACATCGGTCACGGGAGGGTGGTGGGGTACTCCTGGTGGTCTCCGGTTGGGCTGGATTTGGCCTGTATTTGATCAGCGATTCCAAATGGTTAATATTGTCAAGGATAGATTTAAAAAGGGACTGTGGGGAAAGAGTCTTGGATTTAGACTGCGACATAGTCTTAACGTTATACATACCACCAGATGCGGTGGCAATTTCCTTCATTAAAGATGCGTATGTCTTTGTCTTGGCCTCAATGTGATGGACGTATTCCAATGGTTTTGAGAAAGAAACAGACGGCCGGCGACTTCCTTTACCTGTGGGGATGTTGATACAGAGGCAGGAAGAGGAGAATGAGTAGTAAGCAGGGGGACCTGGGTGTCGGGTGCTTTCGGTTCCGTTGGAATGGAGTGAGGGCTGACCGAAGAGAGCCTATTCATAAGACGTCGGTCGTTTAACAAAAATAGCTGGAGAAGTCATAAGCTGTAGTGCTTCATACTGACCAGGAGCGATGCCACAGCAAGCGATGTGCATCCAGCCGTTACATCCAAAGCATTGTACGGCTTTTGAACGGGAAGTAACTCCTTTAGCGCAAGAAACACATTTGGACGCCATAGAAGATGTAGTCAAAATATATCGCGATTCTCCGGAAACAATCTGATTTTGCTTTTCCTCTCCAAAATATTTCAGTGGACCGGTAAGCTCAGTGGGACGTCGCTATTCGCAGCTTCATCCTTCGTGATGACATTCACCACAATCCCAAATACGGAGGTTGATCTTTTCTTGCTTGACCTAACCTGACCTGTTTCACTTTATACATAGATAAAAGTGAGAACACAAACGTCAAATAACTAAAGGGCTTGGTATGTTTACTGGTACGAGAAACTGGTCAACCGCTTAGCGAAACTTATTTTGTCCTTGGAATCTGACCTCAACTGTTCGGAGCGGTTTCCGCTGGACCGGTTTCCGCTGGACCGTTCTATCCGCCACTAGCGCGATTTTGAATGCGGGCTGTTGTTCATCAGGACACCCTTTTTCAGCGTTCCCAAAAGTAAGGGTTTTATTAGGTACTTGCAAAAGGTGTTTGTAAAGAGATCAGTACCTCCAAAAATCCAAAAGCTGATCTGTACTTTGCCTAATAGCGAACTTGACTAAAAGTGGAAAACTTGAAATATAACAGTAAGATGTTAAAAAGGAAACGGAATATAAAAATGGGTTATGGTGGTCCACTGTATGTATCGGAAAATAGGAGGAAGTGGGAGAATGTATGGTAAATTGTCCAAGACACAGGAGAATCCACCTACAAACTACAACCGTGTGTACCGGAATTACACTGCCGAGCAAACATTATTTCCTAGTGGCGGAAAGGACGCTCCGCCGTTAACGTGCTTACCAATGCCTATCAAGCCCTCATGTATTGTCAATCTTACAACTTCTAATCGTTTTCTTTTCATTCTAGGTGCTTCAGCCTTGTTATCCACACCGGTATGCAGTAATCTTGGGGAGGCTAGGGAGGAGATGGTGCGTTTGCGATTCGTAACCTTGATGCGCTGAAATGTTGTGGAAAACAGTTTGAGTATACTTTAACAAGATTTACTATTGTCAACTTTTCTCTAATCCAACATATCTTGGATCGATTAAATTGGTATGGGGCCAAGCGTATTTAGCACTTACTGGTACTTTTTTTGGTTGCTCCCAGTAATTATCTCGTTTTGCACCCTACTTTGCCTCTTTATTGCAGTGATTTTATTATCCTTGTTCAGGTTCCAGTGGGAATGTAACGGTAGGATTATCTTATGGGTGTTCCCTCTTCAACATTCCATAGCTTAAGGACACCAGCAAACAATTGGGTATCATCCCTATTGTTTTCTGATGACCTTAAACTATGGAATGTTGTAAATGTTCCTGGGGGTTCTGAGGCCATACAGCATGCACTGGACAGACTCTGGGACTGGTCTACTTTGTGGCTACTGCCCATAAATCAGGCTGTGTTCCGTCCTAAGTATAGGAGCAACTTTCCCGCCTTCGAGCTACGTACTCGGTGGGATCGAACCCCCCTTTTCTCTAACCAGGTAGACCTAGGTGACGTTCATTCCTCGTCTTTGCATTCTGGTGACAACTGGAAGAAGGTCGCTATTAGGGGTTTCAGAATGTGGTTAATACGCCGTTCTTTCGGGGTCTTAACTGCCGAGTTATTTGTGAAGCTGTTCTCAGCTTTCGTTCGGCCCCATCTGGAATACTGCGACAAGGCTTGTCCGCCCCGCCTTGTTCGGGACAAAATGGAGCTTGAGAGCGTTTTGAGAGTAGGTATTAAATTGGTCGAGGGGTTACGGGGGCAATCGTACCCCGAGCGTCTACTTAGCTTGGGTATGTATTCAATGCATTACCGACGGCTTCGAGGAGACCTAATCCTTACTTACCGCATTTTAGCATGGAAGGTTGGACCGAACTTGAGCTGGCTATTTAGCCCGGCTAGGTTGCCTTGTCTTCGCGGTCATCCCTTGAAGCTACACAAGCCGCGTTCTGACCGTTTCAGGGCGGAAACTCGGTTATCGCTAGAGTTATCGAGCGCTGGAGCTCGCTTCCAGAAAGTGTAGTCAGTAAACCTACGGTTAATGGTTTCGAACGTCAGTTATACGCACTTGGGTGGCAACACGAAACCTTTCCCTTCTCCTGACCATATCCATCTTCAAACTTTTAGTTCTTATTCTGTCATTCTCTTCACACTTTGGTGTTATTCTTCATTTAAACGTCTTTCATTCCCCTTTATCTTCCATTTACTCTCTACTTCTTTCTTACTTCACGTAACCTACACAGCGCGGACTGCTAGTGCAGGGAACGTGGGCAGTAATTGGTTGATCAGGGTGTTTCGTTTTAGATCTATCAAGAATTAGCACCTTATCATTTCCTGGCTCATTGATTTGCTCAAGAAGGAACACTCAAGGGATTTTCCTATCGTTCCAGTCCATCTGAATCTGAACCAGGGGCTGACGGACTTCAAACACCGCGTGACACCCTAGCTAACCAATTATTACCCACATATCCTGCTTTAGAAGTCCCCGCTGAACCGGTTACGGGAAGTAAGAAAGAGAAATCAGTAAACTCAGTGGGCAAGAAGACAAAGAGGATAGCGGATAGCGTAATCCTTTCTGAGTTCTCGGTTCCTATGAGATTGCCTAAATTTATCGAGTGGTAAGAGTTTTTCGTGCATGGCGTGCTGTTTCTCGTTGTTTCCACAGAATTTAAATCCAAGTTAAGCAATTGAACCCAAAGGCCTGAGCTGCAGCAAAGGTGTGCTCGCTCGTTCCAAAGTCGCACAGTGTTCCGCGTGTGACGAATGCATGCATATGTCCTGTTGAGACAACTTTCCTGAAATATATCACTTCCTGCAATAATACACTACTTTGGCTATCCCTTTTCCTGTAGTTGCCGTAGTACTTCATTAAACAATAGACGCCTTCACGCCGGACTATCACCCATGAGCTTTCATTCTACTCCGACGAAGTTTGAAACTTTCATTGCCTTGGACACACATCTTTCTCCTCACCTTCCACTTACCCCTAAGTTCAACCCAGCTACACCCACGGGTGCATGAAGCCATCCCATATGCATACTATTCACAGCCATTGACACGCCTGGTCCATTGAGTCCCAGACTGGAACGTACTTAGCCGTGGTGAGGAAAACTGCCATTATCCCAAATGATTGGAGCCCAAATATGTGTGAAGTTCTGGCTAATTCGAAGTCCGAACCCAAGGTTACGGTTTTCCGGTCCCGAATAAACTCTGTTCTCGACAAAAATAAATAAATAAAAGTCAGAAAATTTGGTCAAGGACAGTGCATCCCCACAGTCGCAAGCCCCTGGTCGCGCTCTACCAACCTCTCGTGACTGTTGTCTCATTCTTGTGAACATATTGGAATCCGTCAAATACAATCTGCGGAAAGGATACTGCATGAGAAAGTGATCCTTGGGCGGGTGGTTTCTATTTTATTCCAATTATGTGAATTGGGCAGGTGGAAATAAGATCGTTCCAAAGTACGGCCACTCAAGGTCGTGTGCGAAAGCTAAGAGGAATGCTGACGCATCCTTCTGTGAATCCCACTTCTGAAAGCTGAGCTTTCTTATGTCCTGAGGGATCTTTGTAAGAGCGGATTAAAATGAAAACAGCCATTGATGACCTCCGGTCTCGCCGAGCGCATGATGAGACAGAACTACACATGGTGAATTTCCACGTAATACAGAAATCCCCTAGACCTCGTTTTAGGGCAATGCTCCTCAACTTAGGACAATAGCGAATGAGAACGGACTGCGTGTACTTTTCGCCAATGTACGCATTCTGAGACATAAACTGGATGAGATTCAGCTGCTTGCCTCAAATACCTGCCCAGACCTGCTTGTCTTCACCGAAAGGTGGCTGTTTGCCGACATCGATTCAAAAGTATCTAGCCTTAGATACGATTGAGCCGACCGTCTTAAAAACCGGATAAGTGGCGGTGTTATATTTTACTGGAAGGCTGTTTTCAACGCCCATTTGGTTGCAGCCTATAGTGACGACAATCGTGATATTGGTGCCCTTTGGTGACATTCATGATCGACGCTTTCTGTCGTCTACAGAGCGCCACCGGGTTTTTTTGCTCACCTGTTTGATTCTATCAGACAACATGGCACAAGAATGAACCGTCTTATCGTTGGGGGATTTTGCTTCACCTTACATGGATTGGGACTTACTTCTTTGTGGTTGTTTACCTGATTCTTTTGATGTTACTTTATCTGAGACCGTTATCGATTATGTTTTGTTTCAACACGTCAGCATGCCATTGTCGTCAACCAGACGCCGAACATTCTGGACCTTGTGCTCGCCCTAGCTCAGTCAAATGTCATGAATCTAGCAGTTCTTCAACCCGTTGGCAGAAGTGATCACTGTGCTATCTCATTCCAACAAACACGCCAATTTGCTTTCTACAGTCAACGTGAGTCCCGTCGAAATTTCTGGCGTGTTGACACACATCGTCTGAAAACAGCCGCAAGTGTTTTCGACTGGGCTATTCCTGAACATCTCAATGTTGCCGATTCGTTGAATCTCCAGGAGGCCCATCTTGGATTGAATAAGAACTGCGATCTCTGCTAAATAAAAGTTGCAAACTGTGGAACGTTACAAGCTTCCGCGAGCGGGGCTTAATTACCCGCAATACAAAACGGTCAGGCAGGCGTGTGTACTAAAGAAACCAGAAGGACCACTTTCTGCGATCTTTAGAATGAACCTCATACCTCAAATGTGGCACCAGAGTCGCTGTGGCATCCCCGCCACGGGCCCTTGTGAGCCTACGGCTATAGTCCAGGAAGACGACGAAAAAGCCAGTCCCCTTGCACAGCAGTACGCTACTCTCCACTCGGAATGATTGCTTTATCCTGTCAACGTGTCCTCTCCTCATTCCATGTCGAAGAGACTAGATAATATCAGTGATATTGTTTTAAAACATCTACCTTTTTAGAGTTCTATCTCTCGCCTGGTCCGGATGGCTTCACTATTTATTCTTTTAAACTCAGGCTGAACACATTTCCGCTATTATAAACCCGAACTTTTTCCAAATACCTGGAAGGTGCGCAATGTCAATCCCACATACAAAGGATTGAGCCATCAGGATCCAGCTAGTTACCGTCCGATTTGTTTGACTTCGGTGTTATGTAAATTTTTGGAAATGAGTCTGTAATGTGCCTTTCACCTTCACATCGAGGAGCTGGATTTCATCACTTGTGCTTAGCATGGTTTCCGAATGGGTTCGCTCGTGCACCACTAACTTGCTCATGGCCAAGGAGAAGTGCGTTCATTCACTAGATCTCAGGAAACAATCAAAAGTCGTGTTTTTCGATTTTAGCAGAGCTTTTGACAAGGTCCCACAAGAGCCGCTCCTATCCAAACTGCGTGGCATCGGTGTCGGTTGGAATTTTCTTCCCTATATCTCTGATTTCCTGATCGGTCGCTCTATTTAAGTAAAATCGAATGAAACGCTTTCTGACTCTGTGTCCCCCGGGTGTCTCCCGGGCCTCTGCTCTCGGTCCCGAGCTTTTCAACGTCTACATTAACGACCTGCCATCTGTGCTGCAGTCGGATTGCCTCATATATGCAGATGGTCTGAAGTTGTGCAGAGGTTTCTAGCATAGGGGATGCTGATGGACTACAAGAGACGCTTACCTTTCTGCACTGTTGGTCGATCCAGTGGCGATTGCCTACCAATCGAGACATGTGTTCGGTTCTATCTATTGGCGCGACTGAACCATTCGGGGCCTACCACATTGGCAGTGTTTTTTTACTCAGAAATGTCACTCCTGAAAGAGACCTAGGCATAATCGGGTCTCCCGACCTAAGATCAACACCTTGAAGAACGTCGCCGCTGCCTATAGGATGTTCTATGCCATACGAAGAACTGCCGCCTGAGTCCGGTGCTCTTCCGACTCCTGTTCACATCGCAGATACGTCCCATCCTTGACTACGGTATTCCTGCCTCATATCCTCTCATCAA